CCTTTTTGTAGAATGTGTCAAAATTCCCTTAAACAAAATGTGCTATGTATGTAGCACATTTTGTTTATCCGTTTATTCATTGTGGAACACTTGAGATTTTTCACGGATGAAAATTTGGGTTGTTTCCACCTCTTCGCTATTGAGAATAATACTGCTATAACCATGGATGTACAACCTAAAAATTTATATTTTGATATATAAATATAACCTCTACTTTGTCCTATGTACTACAGCAAGAAGGCATACCCCTCAGAATAAGAAGAAAACCCAAATATACTGTTTTTTCATTCTTTATTTTCATCTTCTAGAATGAGATCACCTGTGAGTTTAATGTCAGTTCATTTTTTTTCATTATTGAAATTGCGTTAGGCTCTACTAAGTATGGGCAAGATTGTACAGCAAAGGAACTCTCACAGGATGCCAGTGGTAATGTAAATTATTATATTTATGAAGGGAAATTCTTGGGCATTATGCTGTAAGCATGATGGCCCATATATGCTATGACCTACAATTACAAAACAAGAGAAACGTGATTATTTGCACTAAGGTGCATGTGAAAGCTTGTTCCTAGAAGCATCATTTATGTTATTAAACTCTAGAAAAACATAAATGTCAGCCAACAGCATTAATAAACTGTGGAATACTGACGGGGGATACTGTACAAACAAAATAAATGAACCACTTATGTCTACATGCAACAGCATCAGGGAATCTTACAAATATAATGGCGACCAAAGGAGCCCAGATAGAAAAGAATTTATCAGGGATCCCTGGGTGGCTCAGTGGTTTGGTGCCTGCCTTCGGCCTGGGGCGTGGTCCTGGGGTCCCAGGATCCAGTCCTGCATTGTGCTCCATGCATGGAGTCTGTTTCTCCCTTTGCCTCTGTCTGTCTCTCTCTCTCTCTGTGTCTCTCGTGAGTGAATAAATAACATCTTAAAAAAAAAGAATTTATCGTTCTGTTCACCAAAAACCATTGTATGACACCAAGCTTTATAGTTTGGAATGCATATCTGTTCTAAAATTATAAAACAAAACTCTTAAAAATAAATATGAAAATAGTGGTAATCTCTTGGAGGAGGTTATAAAGCAAGGGTCACATAAGATGTGATTTCTTTATCTGGTCGTGGATACACTGGATTTGCTGGAAATTCAAAAAAACATGTGTTTCATGTACTTATTTATGACGTTTTATACCTACAAACTTAAACAGAAGTTTATCATTTTTGCTTCTTTGTTCTCCACTACTTGTGTCCCATGTGAACTATAAAAAAAACCAACTTTTATTGTATGTGGATTTTAAGTCATAATTGGAAAATTCTTCCTATATCCAGGTTGCAAGAGAATTCACACTCTTCTTTTTTTAAAAAAATACTTATAGGTTTTTACTTTTTACATTTAGATCGCCAATCCTTTTGTAGTTTATTCTTGAATAAGGGGAGGGGCTTGAAATTTCGTGTTAGCTCTTTCTAACTGGCTAACAAATTGCGTCTGAACTATTTATCAAAAAGTCCACCTTTGCACTTGTGGTTTGAAGTGCGTGCTTTATCGGTTACTAAATGTCCACATATGATTAGGTTTGTTTCTGTACTTTGTCCTTTATTCTACTGGTCTATTTGTCTCATCAGTTTTGAGTACCACCATGATTTAATTGCAGGTGTAGTAAGAGTATATTTTAATACTTGGCAGGACTATCCCCTTCTACCTCCTGGTTTTTCTTTCTTTCAGTCTCTTCCTCATTATTTATGAGTGTTTTAAAGTCTTTCTCACATAGATTTGTATATATCTTGTTAAACTTATTCCTAAGTATTTTATTTTCTTTGTTGTTATAAATAGGATTTTCTCTACCATTAAATTCTCTAACTGGAGATTGTTTGTCTATATGATAGCTAATAATTTCTGCGTATCAATTGCACATCCTGATACGTTAGTGAATTAACATTTTTAATTGAGATATAATTGATGTATGACATTGTATTAGTTTTAGGTGTACAACATAACTTGATATGTTTGTATCTATTTGTATATATTGTGAAATGATCACCACATTAATTCTAGTTAACACCCATCACCACACATAGTTACAAATTTTTTTTCTTGCCATGAGAACCCTTTTTTTTTCCTTTCAAAGTAAGCTCTATACCTGATGTGAGGCTGGAACTCACAACCCTGAGATCAAGAGTTGCATGCTTTACCAGCTGAGCCAGCCAGGTGCCCTATGATGAGAACTTTTAAAGATCTATTTTTGTAGCACCTTAGTGAATTTTTTTTAATAGTATGAATTTTATCATTGAATCTCTGGGGTTTTCGAGGTATACTCTTATGTCATCTGCAAAGAGAGATAATTTTATTTCTCTTCAAAACTTTGTTTCCAGTCAATGTCTCTTGACCTATTTGCTTCTAAAGACCAGCAATACACAGTGTCAAGGGGTAGTAGCAATAGCGGTCGTTCTGGCCACGCTCACCTTTGTTCCTGATCGTAGCAGAAATGCCGGTATCCTCCCAACTTCTTGATTAACATTTTATTTTGAGTACACCCTCTGCTTGTTCAGAGGAGATTCTTGGGTGATAAATCCATGAATATCTTCATGTCTTCTGAAATGGTTTACTTTTATACCTGAAGGGAAGATGTCACTTGTTAGAGAAGCCTTGATGATTACTGCCTAAATCCTTGGCAGAGTTTTCCTGTTTACTCTTCACTTAAATTCAGTGTTGTCATTAAGGGTTCTCAGACACAAATTCCTAACCTCTTGTAGACAAAAAGTGATATTCAGAGCATTCATTTGGGAATGTGCATGTGGTGGTTATTAAATATTAAATTATTCAATAATTTGAATATCATCCCTTGTTGGTAGGAAATGTCTTGCAGGTCTAAATTCCCAGAAATGTATCATCTGAAATGATAGCCACTGGTCACATGTGATCACTGAATGTGTCCAGTAAAACTGAGGAACTGAACTTTTAATTAATGCAAATTTTAACTTTAAAACTGATACTCAATTCAGTTTTTATTATTTTACAGATTTTGTTTATTTATTCATGCGAGACACACAGAGAGAGGCAGAGATGTAGGCAGAGGGAGAAGCAGGCTCCCTATGGGGAGCCCAATGTAGGACTCAATCCCAGGGTCAGGTATTTCCTATGACAATTTAGCATTTAATTGAGATATTCAACGGATTTTGAAGATTTTGTATTAAAAAAAACAGAATATTTCATTGATTTTTTTCTTATAATAAAATAATTATTTTAAAGAAGTATTTAAACAATTTAAAGCATCTTTTCATTGATTAAAAAAATTGTTTATTGGCTGGCTCAGCTGGAAGAGCATCTGACTCTGATCTTGGGGTTGTGAATTCAAGCCCCACATTGAGGGTAGAGATTGCTTACTAAATAAAACTTAAAAAAATTGTTTACATGTTGAATTGATATTTTACATAGACTAGGTTAAATAATATTAAAATTCTCCCTGTTTGTGGGAGAATTTTAATGTGTCTACTCAAAAATTTAAAATACAAGCAAGGGGCGTCTGAGTAGCTCAGTTGATTGGCCATCTGCCTTTGGCTCAGGCTGTGATCCTGGGGTCCTCGAAAGGAGCCTTGAGTTAGGCTCCTTGCTTGGTGGGGATCCTGCTTCTCCTCCCTTTGCCTCTTCCCTGGCTCATGCTTTTTCTTTCTCTCTCTCTCTCTCAAATAAATAAATAAAATTTTACAAAAAGCAATAAAATTACCTACATGTCTCACATTCTATTGCAATTGGGTAGTACTCATCCAGCTCTAGATTTTTCTTCTTTATCTTTGAAATTGAAGTTCATATGATGTGATATTTAATTTTTCCCTTAACGCTCAGTAAAATCTTCTATCCTGAAGATGCAAATCTGTTTTTCAGATCTGGAAAGCTTTCTTCCATGAATTACTTCTTTCCTACTGTTCACTCTGTTCTTTATTTTTTGTTTTTGTTTCTTTTCTTTGGAACTTCAATAAGACGGATGTTGGAATTTCTAGAGCTATTAATACTATCTAAACATTTCATCCTTTCTCTTTGTGCTGAATGCTGTTTGAAATGTACTTCCTTGGCCTGTCATTGAGATGGCTGTCCAGGGTTCTTTCTTTCTGTTCAGGAGCACAGTATATAAGTATATAAGTCGGTGTGCTTTGGGATTCATCTTCTGCCCTTGTTTTGAAATTTGGATTTTTGCCCCTCTCTGTCACAGCTCCCTGTTCCTATCTTTCAGGGATTCAACAAAATATGCGCCAAAAAAATAGCTTTAGGTTTTTGATATCTAAAAGTCTTCATAACTGGGCACCTGGTATCTCAGTGGTTGAGTATCTGCCTTCGGCTCAAGTCATGATCCCAGGGTCCTGGGATCGAGTGCCGCATCAGGCTCCCCAAAGGGAGCCTGCTTCTCCCTCTGCCTTTGTGTCTGCCTTTCTCTCTGTGTCTCATGAATAAATAAAATCTTTAAAAAAAAGTCTTCATAATTTAGTTTAGCCAGGTCAGAAACTGTTCTCCTTTAAGGAATGTTCAGTAAACATGGTCTTTTGAACTTCAGATAGAAGCTCCCACAATGATACTAAGTCAATAGTCAGCTTTTCTCAGAAGCGTCCCCAGAGATCTACAGTGGCGGGCATGAGGATAGAACTCTAACTTCTTCTTCCATGGCGCACTGATAAACTTCAATGCTTTATTATGGTTTTAGGTAATTACACTTTTCCCTGCCAACTGGCTTAGCGTAAACTACATTTTTAGTTGCTAGCACTGAATTCATGTGCATGGCCATGGAATGAAGAGGAAGGATGAAGTGGCTTCCCCTTTCCCACCCCCGATGAAGCTAGCCAGATATGTTTTAATCAGGAAATGCAGGATATCAATAATTTTAAGCCATTCTCAGCTGCTGAAATTTATCTCTGTAATCACATCATTCTCTCTTAGGTACTACTTATTCTTTTTGAAGATTCTCCTCACCCCACCCCCAGAGATTTCCAAGTTCACAATCCCAGGACAAGATGACTGAATCCTTTTTTTCGGACTTTGGCTTGTTGTGGTACCTGGAGGAGCTCAAAAAGGAAGAATTCTGGAAATTTAAGGAGCTCCTCAAACAAGAACCTCTGCAACTTGGCCTCAAGCCAATCCCATGGACTGAGTTAAAGAAAGCTTCCAGAGAAGATCTAGCAAAGTTGTTGGACAAGCATTACCCAGGAAAGCAGGCATGGGATGTGATGCTGAACCTATTTCTACAGATCAATCGGCATGACCTCTGGACAAAGGCTCAGGAGGAGATCAGAAGTAAGTACAGGATGAAGGGGCAGGGACCTATGGAGGAAGGTTGATTCGCTGGAAACTTACAAGAATGAAGGTGATCTTACGGGTCAAGAGTCAGGGTCACTGAGTTAGTGGCTATCCTCTCTAGTTGAGAATGTGTTGTGGGTCAAGGAGGACTTGGAGGTCATGGAGGAATTGCAAACCAATTCTGCTCATACACGGGTTAATGATGGACTAGTATGTCCTGTTCATCTAAGGGGTGTCTCCTCATTTTCCTGTCCAAGGCATAGCCCATGCTGTTATGAGGGATGTCCTGGCTGGAACTCTGTGTCTGCATTGCCAGGTATGCTGATATGGAGTTCCATTATGGTAGTTGAGTGTCCTTTTTTTTTTTTAAGATTTTATTTTTTTTATTCATGAGAGACAGAGAGAGAGGCAGAGACACAGGCAGAGGGAGAAGCAGGGTCTCTGTGGGCCCGATGTGGGACTCAATCCTGAGGTTCTAGGATCATGCCCTGAGCCAAAGGCAGATGCACAACTGCTGAGCCACCCAGGCGTCCCAACTGTCCTTTTGACCAGACCTGCACCAGGGATGATGAGGCAGAATCCTTACACTAGGAAATAACTATAGAGAGCTTATGCCCCTGGCCCTACAGTGAACAGTTCTGATGCCTGCACCAGGGATGATGAGGCAGAATCCTTACACTAGGAAATAACTATAGAGAGCTTATGCCCCTGGCCCTACAGTGAACAGTTCTGATGCCTTTTTATTCCTACCACTACCCTGAAGTTTACAAACGGTGGTCCTAGCAGCATTCCCTTGTGGTAGATGGCTTTTCCAGCAGGGACAGATCTGACTCCAAGTCAGTTCTATTTCCACTCATTGATGGGATTTACGCCCTCTGCTGGGAGGGTACGTTATTAATTATTATTATTATTATTATTATTATTATTATTATTAATTTACTAGAGAGATAGGTTGAGTTGTAAGTCCTGGCAAGCAAAGAAACAAAGTGTCAGACAAGTCATTTAAAAAAATGTACCTTTAATACAGTAACTGAAAGCGGTAGGATGTTTTGCCCAATTTTACATGTTATTCTCTCATTGGTTTTTATCTATTTGTGGGAGTAGACATTCTGTTCTGATAAGTAGGTTGAGATTCAGATGAATTATAATTGCTCTAAAGTCTCACAGTACAAAGTAGTTGAACCAAGGCATGTCTTCTGGTTGTGGACACCATGTGTAGCGGCTAGTGTCAATTGCCAAGACAGTTCCTAAGCAGCAAGCCACTGTTAGGTCAGCTTGCCACATGCCCATAAATTTGGTCTGTAAGGACATAATGAGCCCAGATGGATTTAGAAGGCTCATTGCCCACCGCACGACAGGAACATGAGATTCAGGCTCATGTCAGTTCCTCTTGTCCCCTGAGTCTCTCGGGGCTATGCAGTGGAGCTCAAGCAGACCTGTGTTATAGGAACCCAGAGAGTCAGAGATCCTGATCTTAGGTAGTGACTGACAGCCCTGTTCCCTACACTCCAGAGACAGACACTAGGTTTATTACCTGGCATGTCTCTGGAGAGTGAGAAACATCCCTGAATTTCTCCAGAGGGGAAAGAAAGGCTTGTTTTTATCTTTTAGATTTTATTTATTTATTTATTTATTTATTTATTTATTTATTTATTATTTATTTATTTATTTACTTACTTACTTTTTAAAGATTTTATTTATTTATTCATGAGAGACACAGAGAGAAGCAGAGACACAGGCAGAGGGAGAAGCAAGCTCCTTGCAGGGAGCCTGATGTGGCACCTGATCTCGGTACTCCAGGATCACACCCTGAGTCAAAGGCAGACACGCTTAATCACTGAGCCACCCAGGCATCCCAGATTTTATTTATTTATTTGGGAGAGAGTAAGAGAGAGCATGAGTGAGGGGGAGGGGCAGAGATAGAAGGAGAGGCAGTCTCCCTGCTGAGCAGGGAGCCCAACTCAAGGCTCCATCCCAGGACCCTGGGATCATGACCTGAGCCAAAGGCAGGTGTTTAACCAACTGAGCCCAACTGAGCCCACCTGAAAGATCTGTTTTTAGAAACAAATCTTCCTTTGCCCCAGAGAGAGGAAGGACCATTGCTACATTCCAAGAATGTTTTCTGTTCATACATCCTTGAACAAACCATCAGTGTCCTTTGCTTGGAAGACATGCAGAAATACTTCACCTAGTGTGGCATATATTTCTCTGATGCAGGTATAGTCCTTGTCTACTTTTGTAATTTTGTTGGCCTCCTGTAATGTGTTGCCTTGAACATGGAAGGCATCATCGTAAGGGTGAGTTGAATGAATGATGATTCAGGGATGTGTTTCTGAAATTAACCTGCAGTTAGCATGCTGGAATAGAAATAATTAGTGTTTCAAGTCAGACAGATGTGGGACAGATATCTGATCCTGATATTTATTCACTAGTGCAAATTAATCAAGTGACACTTTCTCCTAACACTTTTTTGGTAAAGTGGGAGTAGAATGAATCCTGATGGGCCGTTAACATGGAAGACACAGTATGTAGGAACATTCTCAGCTCTGATTCCCAGTCAACACTCAGTAAATGATAGTGCCTATGGATTCTTTACTGGGGATATGCCACCCCTCCTTCTGGTTTGGAAGGTAATTCTGAAGCATTCACACTATAAGTAGCCTGTAACTCTGAGACAGGCTTCCAGTTTTGGTCAGGTGCTTCCAGGTATGTGATTTTAGATAGATTATAGTCCTGATAAAAACTAAGTTAATGAGCCTGATCCTCTGTGGACATGCAGTAGTCTTTGCACATGTGCTTGAGTTAATCTCTAAGGGTTGTTCGGAGTGTCAATGAGTGTGCTTTTTAATTGTCTGGTGTTCTCTCCCTGTGAACTCAGATAAACCAAGCCCATACAGAAATCACATGAAGGAAAAGTTCCGTCTCATATGGGAAAAGGAAACCTGCCTTCCAGTTCCCAACGACTACTACAAAGAAACCATAAAACATGAGTATGAAAACCTGCATGCTGCATACAGAGCCAGCCAGGCAGAAGAGTCCTCACCCACTGTGATCTTGCAAGGTCCAGAAGGAATCGGAAAAACAACACTTTTGAGGAAAGTGATGCTGGAATGGGCAGAGGGGAACCTATGGAAGGACAGGTTCACATTTATCTTCTTTCTCAATGGCTGTGAAATGAACATGATTATAGAGACCAGCTTGGTGGAGCTCATCTCCAGGGACCTGCCTCTCTCTTCAGAGCCAGTCGAGGACATCTTGTCTCAGCCGGAGAGGATCCTGTTCATCATGGATGGCTTTGAGGAACTGAAGTTTGACTTAGAGCTTTTGACTCCCTTGTGCAATGACCAGAGGCAGCGACAGCCAATGCAGATTATCCTGAGCAGTTTGCTGCAGAGAAAAATGCTTCCAGAGTCTTCTTTGCTTATCTCATTGGGAACAGGGAGTATGAGAAAAAATTACTGCTTATTGCAGCATCCAAAATACATAACCCTCCCGGGATTCTCTGAACATGAAAGGAAACTGTATTTCTACCATTTCTTCCGTGAGAGGAATAAAGCCCTGAAAGCCTTCAGTTTTGTGAGGGGCAATATCCCATTGTTTGTCTTCTGTCATAACCCCCTTGTTTGCTGGCTGGTCTGTACTTGTATGAAATGGCAGCTGGAAAAAGGAGAAGATCTTGAGATTGTGTCTGAAAGCACCACTTCTTTGTATACATCCTTTTTTATTAGTGTATTCCAATCAAGAAATGAGACCTGTCCACCTAAGCACAGCAGAACCCGACTGAAAGGCCTGTGTACCTTGGCTGCAATGGGAATATGGACTCGCATGTTTGTGTTTTGCCATGAAGACGTCAGGAGGAATGGCATATCTGAGTCTGATACCTTGATGTGGATGGGCATGAGAATCCTTCAAAGGAGTGGTGAATACTTTACCTTCACACATATGTGCCTCCAGGAGTTTTGTGCTGCCATGTTCTATGTGCTCAAACAGCCCAAGGACAGTCCTAACCCGGCCATTGGAAGTGTGACCCAGCTTGTAACAGCAGGTGTAAGTCAGGTCCAGAGCCCATTGTCTCGGATGATAACATTCTTGTTTGCGTTTTCAACTGAAAAAATAACCAACCTGTTGGAGACATCCTTTGGTTTTCTCTTGTCCAAAGAGCTAAAGCAGGAAATAACCCAATGCCTTAAAAGTTTAAGTCAGTGTGACCCCAGTCAGGTGGCGGTGAATTTCCAGGAATTGTTCAGTGGTTTGTTTGAGACCCATGAAAAAGGATTTGTAGCACAAGTGATGGATTTCTTTGAGGAAGTTAATATTTATATAGGTAACACAGAAGACTTGGTGATATCTGCATTCTGCCTAAAACACTGCCAAAATTTGCGGACACTTCACCTGTGTATAGAAAATGTCTTTTCAGATGACTCTGGATCCATCATAAAGTGAGTCCATCTATGAATCTCTCCCACCCACACACCCCATACTTGTAGCTTGTTTTAGTTTCCAACGGGTCCTTCATTGATCCTTATACTTAAAAAATACATGGCTTTTGTAATCAGAGAGACTTTGCTTTGAATTCTGGCCCTACTATTTGCTAGCTATGTCACCATGAGCAGTAACTTCTTAAATTTTTCTATCTGTGTAAAGAAGGGTAACAGTTTACCTACTTCAAGGGGCCAATATGAGGTTGAAGGGTAAGCAGCTTTTAACATTGCCGTGAGCGTTCCCTCCCCCACCCCCCCTCGGCCCATAGCATTTGAGCACACCCACTGGGAAGGGACTCTTGGAAGCTTGTGCAGTTTCCTCTGAATTTTGCCTGTGGGCTTTTCCTTTTTGCTATTCTAAACTTATATCTTTTCATCTGCTAGTTCAGATTACCAACTCATACTTCAGCTCTCAAATACATATCACCTTTCATGGTAACATTTTTGGGTTTTAGTTTTTAAATTGAGGTTTCAGGTACACAACATCACGATTCAGTATTTGTATATGTTACAAAATGATCACCACAATATGTCTAGTTAACAGCCATCACCAACATAGCTACACAATTCTTTTCCTTGTGATGATAATTTTTTAAAGATTTTATTTACTTTTTTTTTAATTTTAATTATTTATTCATGAGAGACACACACACAGAGGCAGAGACACAGGCAGAGGGAGAAGCAGGCTCCATGCAGGGAGCATGACTCCATCCCAGGTCTCCAGGATCATGCCCTGGGCTGAAGGCTGCGCTAAACCGCTGAGCCACCCAGGCTGCCTGTTTATTTACTTATTTGAAAGAGAAAGAGACAGAGACAGCATGAGCAGAAGCTGGGAGGAGGGGGCAGAGGGAGAGGGAGAAGCAAACTCCTCGCTGAGCAGGGAGCCCAACTTGGGGCTTGATCCCATGATGTGAGCCAAAGGCAGACACCTAACGGACTGGGCCACCCAGGCATCCCAAGAATTTTTTTTTTTTTAAATTTTAAGTAAACTCTATACCCCATGTGGGCCTCAAGTTCATGACCCCAAGATCAGGAATTTCATGGTCTACCAGTTGAGCCAGCCAGGCACCCCATGATGTGAACTTTTAAGATCTGTGGTCTCAGCAACTTTCAAAAATATACTATAGTATTATTAACTACAGTCACCATGCTGTACATTACACCTCCATGACATTATTATTTTTTTTTTAATTTTTTTTAAATTTTTTTATTTTTATTTTTTTATTTATTTATGATAGTCACACACAGAGAGAGAGAGAGGCAGAGACATAGGCAGAGGGAGAAGCAGGCTCCATGCACTGGGAGCCCGATGTGGGATTCGATCCCGGGTCTCCAGGATCGCGCCCTGGGCCAAAGGCAGGCGCCAAACCGCTGCGCCACCCAGGGATCCCTCCATGACATTATTTTATACCTATATGTTCATATTTTTGGATATAGTTCCGCATCTCACTGATGGATCACCAAGTATCAACCTTCATTTACACAACAGTCAAGTACTGTCACCTAAAAGAGGAAGAAGTAGATACTGAATATGGCTGAGTAGCTTGTCTGGAGTCACAGAGCTAATAAGTGTTTCCAATGGGGCTTGATCCCAATTGTTCTGGGATCAGAGTCCATTTCCTTAACCACTAGGCCATGTTGACTCAGTGCCCCTCCTGCTCTGCCCCTCTCCTTGTACAGGCACTGGTGTTCATCTGTCAACTTTGTGGGGCCCTGGGAATGGAGTCCTCCTTGTTCTGAGCCATTGGAGAGTCAACATCTTTGTTCTCTCATTGACAGTGAGAAGCTTTCCTTTTGGCAAGACTTTTGCTCTGTGTTCACCACCAACGAGAACTTCCAGATGTTAGATTTGGACAACTGTAAGTTCAGTGAGGCCTCCCTGGCGATTCTCTGTAAAGCTCTGGCTCAGCCCGTTTGTAAACTCCAAAAGTTTGTGTAAGTTGGATGTTAACCTGTTCTTTAAATAGCTTGAGTTTCATTCTTTCTACTCTGGGTTTTTTTCAAAAGACCAACGTGTAAGCACAGAGCTACAATCCAATGTCTTGAGAAAATTTGGGGGGCGCTTTCCCTTATACCAATGTTTTATTGAGCAAGAAGCAAACTATGGCAGACAGGGGACTTCAGAACCAAACATGGTCCAGAGGCTCAGTCCCCAGTCATCAAAGGTCCGTTTCTAAGCACAAATGGGGAAGCGCTTGGTTTTCTGTGGCAGGTGGCTGCCAGAGACTACTCCCTTTCTCAGCATATTAGCTTGCTTGTGTGTAGCCTGTTAGTAGGAAGCTACAAGTTCACACTGTCATGAAGAAAGTGGAAATTTTTAGAGCAGAGTATGCATTTTCAGTGACACCAGCCTTACATTTGGGTTATGTGATCATGTGTGTTTTGGTTGGGGGGTATGTGAAACTGTGGCCTCCATTTTGGTTCTTCTCTAACAGATGTTTTAAATGTAGTGGTTGGAGAGCTGCAGAGGGAAGTTGGTAACATTTGCTGTGATGTTGATGGGTGATTAATTTTTTTCCCAAGTATTGAAGGGACCATTGGGAAAATAACCTTAAGTTCATGAAGGAGAAAAATAGTAAGAATAAGCATAGAGACTAGGCAGCATTTATGAAATAGCTCTTTAGCACAGAGCTGGCTGCTTTAGGCACATTCATCACCTGTATGGTTTCCTTTTAATCCTCAAAAAGTCTCACTGTCACCTTGATACAGATCAACAAGCCACAGAAGCCCAGAGGAGCACACAGCTACTCCCTGATACTTTGGGTATCTGAGTTTGCCTGGGCCATGTTCTTCTCTTCACCTCCAGAAGCTTATCAATTTCTGCTTAAATGTAACTCCTTCAGCTCAAAGCTTACTTCTTTTTTAAAAAAAAGATTTATTTATTTGAGAACTCAGGGGGAGGGGCAGAGGGAAGGACTCAAGCCGACTTCCTGATGAGTGTGGAGCCTAATGCAGGGCTTGATCCTAGGACCCTGAGATTGTGACCAGAGCCTAAATCAAGAGTCAGTTATCTAACCTACTGAGCCACCCCAGTGCCCCAAAGCTCACTTCTTCATGGAAGACTTTCTATGCTCCCAAAGCACTTTTTAATGTCTTTTTCATCATGGTTACCACACATCTAATTATTGGTCAATGTCTTTGTGCGGAAGAGTTAAAGTAGCGGGTCCGAGACTGTTGTCCCTAGAAAAGCCTGTTTACTGGGCTGGCCCTTGGCTGGCATGTTGGAACTTGGATTTTGCGGAGAATTCTCACCACCCTAATTGATAAGGGGGGCTCACTGTTCCCATACTGTGTAAACAACATGGTTTATACTGAAGACTTGCTTTCTTTCTGTGAGTCTGAGATTTTGGCTCATGCTGGGCAGTGGGTGCCTCTGTGATCAACCCAATAAACACCCTGGGTGCTGAGTCTCCAATGGGCATCCCTGGTAGATGATTTTTCACAAGTATTGTCACAGTGTGTTGCTGGGGGAATTTACCATGTCCTGGTACAGAGTCTTGTAAGCATGCACCTGGTTTCCTCTGGATTTTGCCCTTGTGCCTTCTTCCTTTGCTGATTTTGCTTTGTGTCTTTTCACTGTAATTGATCATAGCCATGAATGTAACTATATGCCAAGTCTTTGGGGTCCTAGCAGGTTACTGAAGCTGGGGGAGGTCTTGAGGACATAGTGTTTCTGTGTTGGGTACACCACCATGATGGGAGAGATGACACCTTGTTGTCCTCTTATATCCAGCTAGCAAAACACAAGAGTTTGGTAGGGGCTCATTAAATATCTGTTGAATGAATGAATGGACCCCTGCATTATGAAAATGGGTTCTTTATTTCACATAAGGAAACTGACTGAGAAATAAGCTGGTAAAGACTCCACACAGAGTAAAACATGGGTCATTGCACTTTTGTTTTCTTCTGGGAAATGTGTTAAAGTAGGGGACTGGTGTGCTCACAAATGGGCTTTCAGTATATGAATTTTAGTGCCAGATATGAGGAATAGTATAGCAAGGGAGAGGTCGTGAGTGGGCTTGAAAGTGAGAGGTCTGTTGGTGAATTAATTAATTAGCTAATTAATGAATTTTTTTGTTGGTGAATCTTCATGACTGCATGAAGGAGACGAATAATTTGAGACATCCAGGTGAAGGCATGAATTAAAATGTCTATGTCTTCCCTCAGGTTGCAAAATGAGGAAGACATTTCATTTTCACAGTGTATGTGGAAACCGGTTGTTGGTATTATACCTAAAATTATTTGGCTCTGTGCCTAGAAAGTATCACCGGATTCATTTTTAAGTGGCCAAACAAGATAGAGATGGTGAGTTTGATCGTTTGTTGTACCAAATATCTAGCCATATGTCTTGGAATTGAGAAATAGTATTCCTTCCTTCCTTTTTTCTCCTGTTCATGGGATTTTAAAAACAGTGTAATTGGGGGCACCAGTGTGGCTCAGTTGGTTAAGCATCTGCTTTTGGCTCAGGTCCTGGTCCCAGGGTCCTGGGATCAAGCCCTGCGATGGGCTCCCTACTCTGTGGGGAATCTCCTTCTCCCTTTCTCTCTGCTGCTCCCCCTGCTCATGCTCTCTCTCTCATGCTTTCTCTCTCAAATAAATAAATAAATAAATAAATAAATAAATAAATAAATAAATAAATAAAAATCTTAAAAAACAAAAACAGTGTAATTAGTAGGATGAATAAAAAATGGGGAGCCTGGCTCATTCCTTTAACTTCAACTCCAATCTCTGTCCTGGTATAGGTTTTGGGGAATGTTGCAGGTAATGGTATTTGGGAATAGACCATCCCATCTGTGATTCCTTGGGTCATACCCCTGCTGTGAGCCAGGGAATCCATCCACTTCTCTCAGTCTCTGCTGCTGCTACTCAGCCTCCAGAAACCAGCACCAGTTACCTGGGATGGTCACTCCGATAATTTCTGCCTTAGTATCTTGGATCCTGTTCTGTCTTCTATCAGTGTGTGTTTTCCTTCCTACATATACATGCCAGAGCAATCTTAAAAAATAACATACCTTAAGATCCTTTCCATGATTTCTCATAACAAGGAAAAAAAATTCTACTGGGCGTGAGGAGTAGAGCATGGCCATGTGGTCTGATCCCTTCCTTCTCTCTGGTTTATTCTCCCCTGCCACTGCCCCCACTGGAGGCTGTAGCCCAAGGACGGTAACTCTTTCAAGCCCTTGACTGAGCTCATTCCTGCTTTAGAATCTTTGTTCTGGCTCTCCCCATTTCTGGACAGTCTTTCTCTAGACTTCTACTTGGTAAGCTCTTCCAAATGCCTTCTCGGACCACCACTCACCCAAAACTGAGCAGCCCCCACCCCAATCACTCCATAACCACATCCTGTGTGCTCTTGTCATGAAATTCTTTCTTCCCTTTTCTCCTGCATCTCCCCTGAGCACAGCATAAGTTCTGATGTGCCTGGTCCTGAGCCACCTGTTCTCGGCTATACCCTCCATACCCTGGCCCACAGTTGGAAGGTAAGGATTTGCTGGATGAAGACAGAGCACAGGTAGTTTGTGGCAGTTGAGTAGGTTAAGGATCATCCTTTAAAGCAGAAGATCTTGTGTCAATAAGTATCTGTATCTTTCCCCAGGAATGCCGTTAGAGTGTGGGCCTTTCTTCTGTTACTTACCCTCCTCCCATCTTGCACCAATGCTACCTCTCACATAAGTATCACAAGATACTAGATTGCTACTGAAGAGTGTATGCCTATTTTGGACAACTTTACTGATTTCTTAGCTTAATCTTGCTTTTGTGTCTTGTTATGTCTAGCTGAGTTGTTTATTCTCTGTACATCATTATGTCCAAAGGCTTTTTCAAGAGGCTCTCTGAGTCCAAAGTTGGAGTGCATTTGAAGCTAACACTCTCTCCCTTTTAATGGTACCCTTTAATGATGAGAAGGCACATTGAGTATTTGAGATGTTTTTTCCTTATTTCTTTGAGTCTACTGGCTTATTTCTTAAATGTGGGTTTGTAGAGTACAGATTTTCCTCCAGTTTTATAGAGGTATAATTTATACATAATATGATATTAGTTTTTGGTGTATGACCTGATAATTTGATAAATATACACATTGTGAAGTGATGGACACAATAAGTCTGGTGCATCACTTCATAGAGTAACACATTTTTTTCTGTAGAACTTTAAGAGAATTTGAAGATCTATTCTCTTAGCAGCTTTCAAATACACAAGACAGTATTATTAACTCTAGTATAGTATAGTCATGCTGTACATTATATTCCCAGGACTTATTTATCTCAAAATTCGACATTCATACCTTTTGACTCCCTTCACCCCTTTCACACGGTCCTCTACCTCCACCTCTGACACCCACCAATCTGTTCTTTGTATCTAGGAGTTAGTTTGTTTTTAGGTTCCACATAAAAGTGGAAACACACAGTATTTGTCTTTCTCTGACTCATTTTACTTGCAGATATAGAGATTGATACCATTTTCATTCTTGTTCAGTTGTAGGTCATCTCTCTCTCTCTCTCTCTCTCTCTCTCTCTCTTTAATCCTTTGGTAGTGTTTCAGATTCTTCTTTATCCTTACAAGTTTACCAGTTTTAATATAATGGATCCCTGTGGGAAATTTAACTTAATTTTCCTCGTACTTCCTGTGACTCTCTGAATTGTAGAATGGACAAATGACTAATAAAGCAAATAGCTCTTAGAATTGTGTTTAAGTTCAGGAAAACTATCAGAATGGCTTACGTCTGCTCCAGTAGGGAGGCAAAATCTTGGAACCATTTGTCTTAAGTCATCAAGATAAACTTAGATTTTTATAGGATTTGGACATAAAACTTTAAAGATTAGCAAGCTCACTATATAGGTTTCTAGTTAAGTCACAGGAATAAGGAAATAACACAGGAAATATGGTCAGTGGTATTGTAATGGGATTGTACCGTGACAGATGGAGCCACAGTTGTAGTGAGCACAGCATAAGGCATAGAGATGCTAAATCACTGTGTTGTGTACCTGAAATAATGTAACTTTGTGTGCCAACTATACTCAGGCAATAACAAAAAAATTGTAAGTGATTGTATGTCCTATCAGGTAGACTTCACACCAATCATTGTTTGACTCAGTTGCTCTATCAAAGCCACAAACACAGGCAGGGTCTTTAATTCTCATGCAAAGAGATAAAGTGTTCACATGCACTAGAGTACTGGGCAGGGGTTCCATTCATTGACTCAGTCGTGCTTTCAACAATCTACCTAGGTAGGCACTTTCCTTTCCTTCCAACAGATGGGGAAACTGAGACCTGTAAGGGGTAGGGGCTTAGCAAAGGTCACACAGGTGGTGAAGGGGCCAGCAGGGGTGAGCCCATTAGCCTGGCCTCTGTGGTGCATCGCTCTTAGCTCACTAAAATCACCAGGTGCTAATGATCATGATCCTGTGCTTTTTACCTTGTGAACTCCTTTTCCGTAATTATCAGGAAGAGGGAAAGTGAACCAACTGTGTTACCATCAACACTTTTTTTTAAAGATCTATTTAATTATTCATGAGACACACACACACACACACACACACACACACACAGAGGCAGAGACATAGAGGGAGAAGCAGGTTCCCCACAGGGAGCCTGATCCCAGACTCAATCCTAGGATCACGACCTGAGGGGAAGGCAGGTGCCCAACCGCTAAGCCACCCAGGTGTCCCACCATTAACACTTCTGTTTCAGCTTGTCTCCTTTCCTTGAGGCTGATGGCTTAGATGGGGGTGATTCTTGATTACATGTTTCCCTGCCATGTTCTCTGATGACTTAGCATTTACTGTTTGCTGCAGCTGCCTGGCTGCAAATCAGTGTTTTCAGGAATGAGGTAGCTTGGGGGCTGCCCTTGTGCACCTCTATGTCTCACAGGTATCTCCAGATGTCACAGGCACCCTGTTTTCTCTTTGAGGGCCCATCAGCCTGTCTTCTCCTTCCTATGCTGGCCCCCCCAGCCCTTCTCGTGGCCCTCTGCTTCCTCTATCTCTGGGAAGGAAGTGCCCTGGGGACCCCCTCATACATTTAGGGAATGACTCTGCCAGAAATTGCCATTATGCTTCCAGGATGTCATTTCCCTCCTCCAAATATTCTCATCTGTCTTTGGTCTCTAGCCTATTCATAATTCCCATGCTAGTGCTTTAATGTGGCATAATATTTATTTTACTCTCATTTCTCAAAGTTGATCAGGAGGGGAGGAGTCAGGGTGTGCTCAAGTCATGACCCCAGGAGCTACATTTTATGTGGCATGTATTTATGAACGCATATAAATGAATATAAAGTATAAATGTAATATGTGTATGGCTTGTAAAAATCAAAGCCAACATGCATTGGTCATGTCCAGGCACCACAATAAATTTTAATTTCATAACCATCATAACACTGTTTCATGAAGAAACTAAGAAGTTAATCTGCATTTGCCCAACCTTGCAAAAGTATCCAGGAGAAAAGCAAAAATTGGAATCGTTTTCTGTAACCCTGGAAACTGAGTCTTTAATAATGGCAGATACGGTCTTTTGTTTTTATTGTCTCCTTTAGGAAAAAAAAAAAGCCTATAGTTTTTTTTTTTAAAACAAATGGATCCTTTCCTTGGGGAGCCCAGTCTTGCTCAGAGCATGAATTCAAATACTGCATTTCCACTGTATGTCAGGCCCTATGCTAGACCTGTAGATGCAACAAGGCACAGACAGAGTGTCCCCATCCTGACAGTGTTTAAAATTTAATATGGGATCAATCTGGCTCACCTCCCTTATAGTGTGCGCAGTGGTATGCAGACATGCAGACAGTAGGAAGAAACAGGAGAGGGCCTAGTGGCTGAGCCTCTATGCTTGTCTGTCATCTGAAAATCCCAGAGAGAATGTATAGGTGAGAGTAACCAGGTATCTAGAATGGTGTTGTGAGCCTAAGCATGGCAGGCAGGAGGGTTGTGTGGTTCTTACTTTGTGCTTGGACTTCATTGCATGAATCCACCATTTCCCCATATTTTGTAGGTATAATTTTGCTTCTGACTTTGGAAGTAGCCCAACCTTGCATAAGGCCATTCTTCATAACCCTCATCTAAAACACCTGAACCTGCATGGCTCTAGTCTCTCCCACGTGGATGTCAGACAGCTGTGTGAGATGCTGAAGCACCCGACATGCAGCATAGAAGAGCTGATGTAAGTCTCTGGTTGTCCCTACTCGGTGATGTTTCTTGTCCAGTATGGAATTTGCAGTTTGAATATGTGCATTTCTTTCCCACATCAGCTTTTGTCTCTTGAAAATTTTTCATCTCAGCATCTCCCAACCTCAGAAGAGCCATCTTCAGATCTCTCAGAAAGTTTGTTGTAGCTTTCCTTTCTTTGATACTCACTTGTATTGCTTCTTGTGGAAACCTGACCTTCCCCTTCTTGGTTCTGTCCTCAACCAACCATGCCAAGACCAGAACTCCATTTTTTTCCTCCTTAAGATATATATTTTAAAAGATTTTATTTATTTATTCATGAGAGACGAGAGAGAGAGAGAGGGAGAGAGAGAGGGAGACAGAGACAGAAGGAGAAGCAGGCTCCATTCAGGGAGCCTGATGTGGGACTCGATCCCGGGACTCCAGGATCACACCCCAGGCCGAAGGCAAGTGCTAAACCTCTGAGCCACCCAGAGATCCCTTCCTCCTGAAGATATTAATAAGAACTTAAAATGAGAAATCTGATAAATCTTATCAATGATCACAGGTGTGCTCTTGTGAATTTGGTAGGTGACAACATTGAGCCCAGAGGGTAAGTAATTTGCCCTACATCACTTCTTCCTCTTGAAAATTACCTGGGCTGCCCCTACCATGGTTGAGGGTCTCTAGACAGGCTCAATCTATGTTTCAGCAGAAAGTAAAAGGGAGAAGTAATAAAGGTAGCAATAAACAAAACCAACTCATTAAACCTACCTGGCAAATGTGCTCTTTCCTGGTTCAGTGTCTCTTCTTTGCTGTAACAGTTGCAAATATAATTAATGGATTCACGTACACTTGGTTAGTTGTAATTCTGTCAAGATTCATCAGGAAAGAGGGGCACATTTCATGCATAAGAGTTGTTTGAACATACAGGCTTTCTATAGATCCTGTTACTCATTTGAGCTGTTTCCCTATCATGACATTTGATTTCTCTGCTCAGGAGGAAACTTAAAATTCCTTTGTATTTTGATCTACTTCATATTATGCCATTTGCATAGGATTTTAATATTCTACATTAGCGTAAGAATTGGGGAACAGGAAATCAGGGGTCAGGTGTAGACATTTATTGCTGAAAACTTTGCCTCTTTGGGGCAATCTGTACTCTTGACTTTGGTTTTGTTTTGGGAGTGGGGGGTCCCCCAAATCAGGTTCTCCCCAGACCATTAGTTCTCAACAGAGAGCAGTTTTGTCCCTCAGGAAATGTCAGTGTCTGGAGACATTTTTGATAGTTGTCATTGCCTTGGGAGGACCCTATAGGCATCTAGTGGGTGGAGTTCAGGGATGCTGCTCAACATCTCACAACACACAGGACAGCTCCTGCATCAAAGATTTTTCTGGTTCAATGTGTCAATAGTGCTGAGATTAAGAAACCTGCTCTAGCCTATGAGTAGCTCTCTCTCTCTTTTTTTAAAGGTTTTTTATTTTTAAGTAATCTCTATACCCAACTTGGGGGCTTGGACTCACAACCCTGAGACCAAGAGTCATATGCTCCATCAACTGACCAGCCAGGAGCCCCCATGAGATGTTTTTTTAAGCTGCATTAAGGCTCAGACCAGGGTTTCCCAGCCTCAGAACTATTGACAGGTAATCAGATCATCAGGCTTATTGAGCTCCAGGTCATTCTTTGCTTTGGGGGGCTGTCCACAACAATGTAGGATGTTGAGAAGCATCCTTGATCTCCCTCTATTAGGTGCCAATAGTGCCCCTCTCCCTTTGTTTTCTTTTTTAAATTTATTTATTTATTTATGATAGTCACAGAGAGAGAGAGGGAGAGGCAGAGACACAGGCAGAGGGAGAAGCAGGCTCCATGCACCGGGAGCCCGACGTGGGATTCGATCCCGGGTCTCCAGGATCGCGCCCTGGGCCAAAGGCAGGCGCCAAACTGCTGCGCCACCCAGGGATCCCAACCCCTCTCCCTTTGTGACCACCAACAATGTCTCCAGACTCTGAAAAATGAAAAAGGTGAAAAATCAGTCCCTGTTGGAAGCTACTGGCTCAGATTTTTTTCTAACTTTGGTGGTAAGCAGTAAGAGATTAATAAATAAAGTCATGTAATTACACTGTGCTTTTAAAGTCTGGAATATAGATGGCAGATCTGCTGGTGTGAGACCAGAAGCTGGTCTCTAGAGACTAAAGGCTGAGATCCATGGCCAGTTTGGCATGAGCTACTCAAAGCCTGTAGCCATGTCCCACAGCATGTGTTTCACGTGCAGGTTGGGAATGTGTGACATCACAGCAGAAGCTTGTGAAGAAATTGCCTCTGTCCTTGTCTGCAACAAGAAGCTGAAGCTTCTCTCTCTGGCAGAAAACCCCCTGAGGAATGAAGGCATGCTGATGCTGTGTGACGCCCTGAAGCACCCAGACTGTGTGCTGGAGACATTGCTGTAAGTCCATCTGGGCAAGCAGGCTCTGGTGAGACTGTGAAAGTATGCATATGTGCCCCTCGGTAGTCAAGGCAACCAAATGCTTACTGAAGGAGGCTGTAGAGCAGACTCTGTAGTCAGATCTGACTCTCCATGCCCTGCCAATAAAATGCAGTCCACACAAACACCTTCTCCACAGAGGCACCATGAGGTTGAGTTCAAGAGTGGAAAACCTGCCCTTAGGTGCCTTACATCTACTTGAGATGTCCAGTAAATCCTCATTATTGTGAAGAAGGACCATGCCTTCAATATATTGGGTGCTGGGGAGAGGGAGCATATAAACAATTGATACAAGGCATTCATCTGATTCCTTTTAGGAACAGGGTTCATACATTCTAGGTTATTACTGGGATTCTACAGAGCTGCCATTTCTCTCCTGCTATATAGAGTGAAGTGCTTCCTTTGCTTCAGGTGGTCTACCAGGGCAGCAGTAGAGTGGGTCCTCTGTCTGGTGAGGCCACACAGGCAACTTAGTGTTAAATCAGGCAGAATGCTGTGGTGCCTTAAAGTGAGGGCAGGTGCAAGAATGCCAAATCCATGGGCATACATGGTTAGTCTAGAAACAAAATTTCTTTGTGTGCACGTATGTGTGCATATAGAGGTATGCATTGCACACATACACACACACAATGGCATCTAAGACAGGAGAGGGAAAAGACTGCTATCATTGAGATGACATTCTAGACTGTGTAAGGAAATCAACAGTAAAATACACTCCAGGAACATTAAACACTGAAACCAAGCTAGGAAGGGAAGAAAAGGAAGGGAGGGAAAGGAAGGGAGGGAAAGGAAAGGAGGGAAAGGAAGGGAGGAAGGGAAAGAGAGGAAGGAATAAAGGAAGAAGAAAGGAAGGAAGAAAGGAAGGGAGGAAGGAGGAAAGAAAGAGGCCTTTAAGGCCTTTAACTTATAAAGATTAAAATGAAAAATCTTCAAGGGTATGAAAGAAATGACACATTGCAAGGTGGAAAGATTTGGCTATTAAACAACTGGCTGATACCATACAATGACTGGTAATTAAAATGTGCTGTATTTTTCTAAAGGGTTCTTCAAGATATATCACTTAAGGGTTTTTTTTCACTTATTTGTTTTTACACTTGAATCTTTATTCCTTAAAAATATGTGGAATTTAAGAAACAACACAAACAAATGAAGGGAAAAGAGACAAAAAACCCAGGCATTTAAATACAGAGAACAAACTGGTGGTGGCAGGATGGGTGACATCATGAAATAGGTGATAGGGATCAAGAACGCACTCATCGTGATGAGCACTGATGGGTAGAATTATGAAATCACTATTTTGTACACCCAAAACTATTATAACACTGTATGTTATACTTCAATAAAAATTTTTTAAAATGAAAGACTATTTACTAAACATGCAGGAATGTCACTAGTAATTTTAAAGGCAAAAATGTTCATCAGGGATCCCTGGGTGGCGCAGCGGTTTGGCGCCTGCCTTTGGCCCAGGGCGCGATCCTGGACACCGGGATCGAATCCCACGTCGGGCTCCCGGTGCATGGAGCCTTCTTCTCCCTCTGCCTCTCTCCCTCTCTGTGTGACTATCATAAATAAATTTAAAAAAAAATTAAAAAAAAAGTTCAACAGAATGATATACCCTTTACAACAAATGCACAAAATTTTAAAATATATTTCACTTGACCAGGATTCTGCAAAATGGATAAGTGTCTACTATGATTGGAATATTAATTTGAGTTTTTTCAAAGTTAGCAAGTAAATCAAGAAAGTGAAATGAAAAGTTTCTTTCTTTTTTTTTTTTTGAAAAGTTTTAATAGTAAGCTTCAGCACTTCAAAAAAATTTTTTTGGTTCAAGGTAGTAATTCAGTATAAGTTAACTTGGCAAAAATGGAAGTGGAGATATTCAGGAAGTGTATGGAGTAGTGAAGTCACTGGAGATTATATTATGCAGCCATTAAAGTATTAGTGAGTTTTCAAAATACTGGAAAATGCTTATTTCTTTTTCTTTTTCTTCTTTTCTCTTCTTTCTTTTTCTTCTTCTTCTTCTTCTTCTTCTTCTTCTTCTTCTTCTTCTTCTTCTTCTTCCTCTTCCTCTTCCTCTTCCTCTTCCTCCTCCTCCTCCTCCTCCTCTTCCTCCTTCTTCTTTTAAGATTTATTTATTTGTTAGAGAGAGGCAGAGACACAGGCAGAGGCAGAAGCAGGCTCCATGCAGGGAGCCTGAGGTGGGACTTGATCCTGGGTCTCCAGGATCACGCCCTGGGGCGAAGGCGGCGCTAAAGTGCCGTGCCACCGGGCTGCCCGAAAATGCTTATTTCATTGAAAAAAGTATGAATTATGTGCCCATTGTCTGATCTCAAAAATGAGACCAGAAGGAAAACCCATTACACGTGAGTAGTGTTTGCTTACCAGGGACTTATGCTTTCTTCCTGCCAGAGGTCATACTCGTGTTCTCTGGAGCCCAGGCAAGCAACCGGAGTGGGTGGGGGGCTGGGTGGGGGTACTGGTGAATTAGCACCTGCCGCTTTCATGGAGAAGTTTTTGTTCCCCTCCACCTATTGTTTGCCATATGACCATCTGTGGTGGAATTTCAGGTAGCTGGCTTGTCTGTGGGAGTAGAAGTGTGGAATTCCTTTTTTTTTTTTTAAAGATTTTATTTATTTATTCATGAGAGACACAGAGGCAGAAATATAGGCAGAGGGAGAAGCAGGCTCCCTATGGGGAGCCTGATGTGGGATTCGGTGCAAGGATCATGGGATCAAGACCTGAGCCAAAGGCAGATGCTCAACAACTGAGCCACCCAGGTGCTCCCAGAAGTGTGGAGTTCCATGTGAAATCTCTTGATTCTTAAATGTTCACTGCTAATTAAAAAAAATATGTTAAACATAATGTCAACTAAATTCACTATATCCAGGGATCATGTTCAGTTGTGAGCTACCAGGTTGTGACTTGTACCTTACGCTTTCCACTATTTTCCAAATTTCTGACAGTGGGCTTATAAGAACTCAGAACCACAAAACTAATTTTAAAATAATATTTTAAAAGAAAAATCATGTTTAGTAGGATGTCATCCAGCACATTCCTCCAAATAATAAGTATACCATATCATGGGGAGGGAATGACTTTTGCTAATGTCACCCAGCTGATGGTGATCTGACCTGGAACTGGAATCTGAGATTCTGTTTCCCAGTTTGAGACGCCCTATTCCCTATTCCACATTCTCGCCTTTGTGTTTTTGCAGCGGGTGCATGCTCTAATCCTCTTACTTTTCTCAAGTGATCATGGAGTAGGAGGAATAACTTGAGTTTTGCATATGGCTTCATGAAAATATTACCAGAAGAGCTAGAGCGGGTTGACAAGTTGAGTTGCATGTGTGTCTTTGCAGGCTGATGTGCTGCTGCCTCACCTCTGTGGCCTGTGACTACATCTCCCAAGCCCTTTTGTGCAACAAATCCCTGTCCCTTCTTGATCTGGAGTCAAATTTCCTGAAAGATGATGGAGTGGCATCTCTTTGTGAGGCACTTAAGCACCCAAATTGCCACATCGAGCAGTTGTGGTATGTCTGGCTGTGATTTGCATGCGTGCCAGATTTACTTTTTTTTTTTTTTTATCAGCATCCCAGAAAGGAAATGGGAAGGGGTAAAATCATGGGGTCTGCTGAAAGAAAGCAAAGCTAAATGTTGACCCTGCCTGATACGTGTGGGAGTGTCCAGTGTTGTTGATGTGTGTGAGCTTGACAGGACTTGGTAGGACACACTACTCTGGAGTAGGGTCCCTGGCCTCTGGAAGCCCAGAAATGGAGTCCCAAGTGCCCTGGACTAGCTGGGTGAACATGTGAGGGTGCTCACCTCTCCTCCAGTGGGACATGAGGATAAGTATGTTTCCCACATCAAAGAATCAAAGTGACCAGCAGGAATAACACAAAGAACTATTACCAAAGACTTGCCCCAAACAAGCATGCAGTAAATGATGGCAGGAGGCATATAGCACAGGGATTATTCATGGCTTTCACTGGGCACTGAAAACTCTTCTGGGTAGATAAGATGAATTGGTAAATGAAATGCTCCAGTATCTCTTTTCCATGGAGTAAATTTTATGGAGTGTTTCACATATGCGCGTGCGCACACGTACAGCATGCTTTCTCAATCTCAGCACTTTTTGCCTAGATCATTCTTTATTGTGGGGAGTGGCTGTCCTGTGCTTTGTAGGATGTTTAACGCCATCTCTGGCTCCTACCCACTAGATGTCAGTAGTACCCTCTCTCTTCCAGTGTGGCAAACCAAAATTGCAAGCATTGCCCAATGTCCCCTGGGGCAGGGGGAGGGACAAATGTCATTCCTGTTTGAGAACCACAGAGACACATATACACATATATATATATATGTCAGACATATACACATATGTGTATACGTGTGCCTGCACAATGTGTGTGTGCATATACACATGTGTACTCATCAGACTTATTAATACATATATACATTTTAGCAGGTGGTATGTACTGTGGGGAGCTCAGAAATGGGACAGAGACTGGGGACATGAGACCATATAAAATATTCAGGGAGGTCCTCACCAAAGGTAACATTTGTGCAGAGATTTGGAAGAAGTGAGGGAGTATTTGGGCAGGAGCATTGCAACCAGTGAGAACAGGAGCAGAGGCCCCAGGGGAGCAGAGACAGGCAGCAGAGTTACAGTCCAGTGTGTTGGGCAGGAAGGTGGAAGAACTGAAGTCATGGAATCATCACCATCTCAGAAGTACTTGGGCACTTCCTCCTTCATATGAGTAAACGAAAACAAGCCAAACCATGCAAGGTGGGACCTCATGATTGTATCTGTTGGTGTATATTTCCCCCCCAGGTTGGCAGATTGTTCCCTCACTTCTCTTTGTTGTAAGAACCTCTCTGATGTTCTTGTTTGCAATGAAAAACTAAAGATCCTGAAACTAGGGAGCAATGACATACAAGATGCTGGTGTCAAGCAGTTATGTGAAGCTCTGAAGCATCCAGACTGTAAAGTAGAGCATCTTGGGTAAGTGTCCCCTCATTGCCTTTATGAGAAGACTTACCTATATCAGGAGTAGGAAAACATAGAGGATTAGTGGTATGTAAAGAAGCAAGTTTGAGAACAAGTGTGTCTGGAATGATCTGATAAGTGAAATGAAGCCTATGAAGCCAGGGCTTGCTCAACTTTGTTTTTATTGATATTTGGGACTGGGTGATGTTTTGCTGTGGTGGGGAAGGGGACTGTCCTGTTCATTGTATGATGTTCAGTTGTATCCCTGGCTTCTTTTTATCTGTGAGATGCCAGTAGAATTCCCCAGCTATGTCAAATGTCTCTAGATGTTGCCACATGTCCCCCAGGAGACATGGTGGCCCTGGTTGAGAACCACTGATCTAGACTGTAAAGTCCCCTGCTCAGAGGCACGGAATTTGGCATCTCACAGTAGTGTGTCTTCTGGCCTGCCAAAGCCGGTATATTTTTCCCTGTTGCAGGCTGGATATGTGTCAGCTCATTACTGCCTGTTGTGAGGCGCTGGCCTTGGCTCTCACTGTCTGCAAGTCACTGAAGAGCTTGAATTTGCACTGGATTAGTTTGGACCGTGATGGGGCGGTGGTGCTGTGCGAAGCCCTGAAACACCTGGACTGTGCCCTGCAGCAGCTTGGGTAAGTGGATGTCCTTTCCCTCAGTAAAAAGTAACTTCAGGGTGAGGTTAGCCTATGGTAGGTTTTCCCAATTTTGGCATGACTGACATTTGGGTCAGAGAGTCCTTTGCTGTGGGGGCTGTCCTACACATTGCAGGATGCTGAACAGGATCCCTGGCCTCTTCCTGTACATTACATGCCCGTAGCACCTTCTCCTGGTCATGATGACAAGGTTGCTAAGAGACACAGTTTAATTGTTTTCATCACAAAAAGTCATAGGGGTGCCTGTGTGGCTCAGTCAGTTAAGTGTCTGCCTTCGGCTCAGATCATGATCCCAGAATCCTGGAATCAAGCCCCACTTTGGGTCCCCTGCTCAATGGAGAGTCTGCTTCTTCCTCTGCCCCTCCTCCTGCAGTCTCTGTCTCTCAAATAAATATATAGTCTTAAAAATAAAAACTATAATAATGTGACATGATGGAGGTGTTAACTAATGCTAAGTTGATAATCATTTGGCAATATATATAGATATAGCAAACTAATGTGTTGTATACCTTAAACTTATTCAATGTTATATGTCAATCATATCTCAAAATAATAAATTAATGGAAGATTACGCAGATTAAAACAGAATAGCTATAACATCCATTCCCTGAAATAAAAACGAAATATCTCCAGACCTTGTCCAATGTCCCCTGAGGGGCAGAATTGCCCCAAGCAAGAACTGCTGCCTTACTATGAACACCACCTCCTGCTAATATTGCCCATAAAGATGAAACATCAGCTCAGACATGGTGGCAGTTCTGACCCAGAAGCACTTTTCTAGAAGAGTAGTGGTCAGCATTGTTCTGAATATCATATTTGCATATGAAATGTATGTATTTGATATCTGTTGAGTGAATATTTTGGTGTCCTCCACACACTAGGCCCCTGGATGACATGCTGAGGAGGAACAGAATGGATCATATCCCTGTTGTCTGCATTCCTATCCCACTGGATTAGGATATGTGCTTTCTCTGCACATTCAAAATGATTTTCCCAGTTACTTTCAGGGAAGAATGGCTTGGAAGGAGGCACTGGGATGTAGAGAGGCAAGCAATCATGCATATAGTCAAGAAAACTTTATTTCTATTTTCTCAGGTTGGACAAATCTGTTTTTGATAAGGAGATTCAGATGCTGCTCACAGCTGTGGAAGAGAAAAACCCCCACCTGACCATTTCCCATCTACTCTGGATCAACAAAGAGTACAGGATCAGGGGTGTGCTTACCTGATGGGGAACATCTCAAGTAATCTTCTCACAAAGGCTTCTCACTGATCACAGTGAGCCTTACTTCTCCTAGCACACCCTGTCCTGTAGACTGTAATACATGGTGGTGGGGGCTGTGATTTCAGACCTGTCCCTTTAGAGTGTCCTAGTGATATGACTGTGGATGTGCCATAGTGCCTAAGCCCCCAATCCTACCTTTAAAATTCCCATCTTACCTTGCACTAGTTAGAGGAACACATTAAATGGATAAATACTCTGGAAAACATGACTTTATTTTCTTGGTGTATGTCTTGGGATGTAGGAGCTTGGATTTGAAGGAATCACAATCCTGTGACAATTTTGACTTAGAAGAGATGGTAGAGGGATCCCTGAGTGGCGCAGTGGTTGGGCGCCTGCCTTTGGCCCGGGGCGCGATCCTGGAGACCCGGGATCGAATCCCACATCAGGCTCCCGGTGTATGGAGCCTGCTTCTCCCTCTGCCTGTCTCTCTCTCTCTCTCTCTCTCTCTCTCTCTCTCTGTATGACTATCATAAATAAAAAAAAAATTTTTTTAAAAAAAAAAAGAAGAGATGGTAGAATGTGTCTATAGATTTTTTTTATAAATTAATTTTTATTGGTGTTCAATTTACCAACATACAGAATAACACCCAGTGCTCATCCCGTCAAGTGTACCCCTCAGTGCCCGTCACCCATTCACCCCCACCACCCCGCCCTACTCCCCCTCCACCACCCCTAGTTCATTTCCCAGAGTTAGAAGTCTTTATGTTCTGTCTCCCTTTCTGATATTTCTCACACATTTCTTCTCCCTTCCCTTATATTCCCTTTCACTATTATTCATATTCCCCAAATGAATGAGAACATACACTGTTTGTCCTTCTCCGGTTACTGTGGCCAAGTTCAAAAAGGGTGTTGCCTGAGTTCTCCTCTGGGATTTTGATGGAATCTTGTCTCACATTTAGATCTTTCATCTATTTTGAGTTTATCTTTGTGTATGGTGCAAGAGAGTGGTCCAGTTTCATTCTTCTGCATGTGGATGTCCAATTTTCCCAGCACCATTTATTGAAGAGACTGTCTTTCTTCCAGTGGATCGTCTTTCCTCCTTTATCGTTTATTAGTTGACCATAAAGTTCAGGGTCCACTTCTGGGTTCTCTGTTCTGTTCCATTGATCTATATGTCTGTTTTTGTGCCAGTACCACACTGTCTTGATGAACACAGCTTTGTAGTACAACCTGAAATCTGGCATTGTGATGCCCCCAGATATGGTTTTCTTTTTTTAAAATTCCCCTGGCTGTTTGGGGTCTTTTCTGATTCCACACAAATCTTAAAATAATTTGTTCTAAGTCTCTGAAGAAAGTCCATGGTATTTTGATAGGGATTGCATTATACGTGTAAATTGCCCTGGGTAACATTGACATTTTCACAATATTAATTCTGCCAATCCATGAGCATGGAATATTTTTCCATCTCTTTGTGTCTTCCTCAATTTCTTTCAGAAGTGTTCTGTAGTTTTTAGGGTATATTTTGAGAACCATTTGAATGGTAAATGGTTCTCCAACCTTTTATTTTCAGGTTGTAGGTGTCCTTCTAAAATGAGTCTCTTGTAGACAGCAAATAGATGGGTCCTGTTTTTTTATCCAGTCTGAAACTCTGCGCCTTTTGATGGGGTCATTAAGCCCATTCATGTTCAGAGTTACTATTGACAGATATGAGTTTAGTGTCATCATGATATCTATTTAGTCCTTGTTTTTGTGGATTGTTCCACTGAACTTCTTCTTAAAGGGGAGTTTTAAGAGTCCCCCTTAAAATTTCTTGCAGAGCTGGTTTGGAGGTCACATATTCTTTCAGTTCCTGCCTGTCTTGGAAGCTCTTTATCTCTCCTTCCATTTTGAATGAGAGCCTTGCTGGATAAAGTATTCTTGGTTGCATGTTCTTCTCATTTAGGACCCTGAATAAATCCTGCCAGCCCTTTCTGGCCTGCCAGGTCTCTGTGGAGAGGTCTGCTGTTACCCTAATATTCCTCCCCATGAAAGTCAGGGACTTCTTGTCTCTTGCTGCTTTAAGGATCTTCTCTTTATCTTTGGAATTTGCAAGCTTCACTATTAGATGTCGAGGTGTTGAACGGTTTTTATTGATTTTAGGGGGGGATCTCACTATTTCCTGGATCTGAATGCCTGTTTCCCTTCCCAGATTGGGAACGTTTTCAGCTAGGATTTGTTCAAATACATATTCTGGCCCTCTGTCCCTTTCGGCGCCCTCGGGAACCCCAATTAAACGTAGGTTTTTCTTCCTCAGACTGTCATTTATTTCCCTTAATCTGTCTTCATGGTCCCTTAATTGATTGTCTCTTTTTTCCTCAGTTTCCCTCTTTGCCATTAACTTGTCTTCTATGTCACTCACTCGTTCTTCCACCTCGTTAACCCTCGTCGCTAGGACTTCTAGTTTGGATTGCATCTCATTCAATTGATTTTTAATTTCTGCCTGATTGGATCTAAATTCTGCAGTCATGAAGTCTCGTGAGTCCTTAATGCTTTTTTCTAGAGCCACCAGTAGCTGTAGAATAGTGCTTCTGAATTGGCTTTCTGACATTGAAGTGTAATCCAGATTTTGTAACTCTGTGGGAGAGAGGGCTGTTTCTGATTCTTTCTTTTGAGGTGAGGTTTTCCTTCTAGTCATTTTGCTCAGTGCAGAGTGGCCAAAAACAAGTTGTATTGGAACACGGGGGAGTATCACTGGTCCGTCTAGCTGGTCTTCTGGGGGAGGGGCCTGCTGTGCTGATTTTCAGGTGTTAGCACTTGGGGGAGCTGCTCTGCCCCTGCCTGCTGCCGGGCTCAGCGGGGGTTGTTTACCCCGTGGGGCCCCAGGAGGAACAGCCGCAGTTGCTATGGCAACTCTGGAAGCCTGGATTTAGCCTCCGCAGGAACTACGGGCTCGGGGCTCTCGGTTCTCCGTCTGCAGGGCCTGGAGGCTCCGGGGCGGGGCCGCTGATGTGCTCTGCTCGGGGCAGGAGCGTCCTCGCTGTCCTGGGCCCTCCCGGCCTCTGCCTGTCCCGGGGGAGGCCGGATCCTGGGCTGTGTCCCGGCGCCCTGTGCTCCGGGGCCTGCGCTGTGGGATTCGCGCTCCCGCCCTGCAGCCCCCTCCCTGGAGCCGCTCCCGAGCCCCTCCGAGCTGCTCCGGTCGGTCCCTCCGTGCGCGCTGCAGCCCTTAGGGAGCTCGGAGCACTCTCCTGCGCTCGCAGGTGTCTGTTAGTGTCCCAGGGAGCCCGAGGGCATCCCCGCCCTCCTGGGTCCTGCTCCAACTCCCTGCGAGCCCCTTTCCGCCCGCCCGGGAAGGTTGGTGCAGCTCCTGCTCCTCCGGGACGGGGCTCTCCTGTCCTGGGGACACTCGCCCCGGCCTCAGCCCGGCTCCTCGCGGGGCCCCTCCCCCTCGGAGGCCTTTTGTTCCCTTATTTCTTTTTCCCCGTCTTCCTACCTTGAGAGAAGCGCGGACTCTTCTCACTGTAGCGTTCCAGCTGGTCTCTCTTTACATCTCAGGCCGAATTCGTAAATTTTCAGGATGGTTTGAAGGTTATCTAGGTAATTTGGTGGGGACAGGTGATTTGGGAACCCTGCTCTTCCGCCATCTTGCCCCTCCCCCGAATTCTGCTATTTACTACATTTAGCACCCACCCAAACTTTCCATTTTTAGTTTGTGCGAATTTAGATTGTAAATTTATTAGACCAGTTTTGTGGTCTAATAAAAAGATACATTTCCAAATCTCTACTTACCCTTTAGAATGTGCCACTTCAATAACCTTTTTAAAAAAAGTAAAAAAAAAAGAGTCAATATTCTCTTTTCCAAATGTTACACAGTTTAATCCAACATTTTCTTTTTCAAATATACATAATACCCCATTGTCTTAATTAAACCTGCCTGGTTTTCTGTTGCCTCTACAAGAAATAATTGTTCATGCCTATTGACCCCATATAGAACTTAATTTGTGTTAAGTATTATTTTAAAAACTTCTAGCAGACTATTTTTTTCAGAGCAGTTTTACGTCTACCACAAAAGTGAGAGTGAATGTACAGGGATTTCCCATAAACCCCCTGATCCTATATATACCCCTGGTTGATCTAAGGAGTTGACAAATCCCAGTCATGACCATACCACTTGTGTTGTCTTTGTTGTTGCCATTGTTGAAATTGGCAAATTTACTCTAAAATAATATGAAAATGCAAAAAATACAGAATATCCAAACCAATCTTGAAAAATAACTAATTGACTGACTTGCCATAATTAACATTCATATGATTCAGGGTCCCATTCTTATCTATCTTGTGGATTTTCTCTTTACTATTTTGCCAAATTTCTATTTGGCTTTTGGCCTTTTTCTTGATTTTAAAGAATTCTGATGCTATCCCTCTATCTATCCTACAAATTCCCCTTAAATCTTGTGTGTACATCCAGGAATACCTCTTCTCAGGGCAAACTCTGAAAATAAAGAAGGACAGCCCGGTTGACTGATCAGGGAAAGAGGCACAGTGCTCTCTGGGTGACCGAGGAAGCCTATAATGAGGTCTTGTGGAGTCACATGGACATTAGAGATGCTCATGGATTCTGAGGTAGGATAGACTAGATTCAAGTGGGACATTCTCCAGGTGTAGAAGATGTGTGGCCATAAGTAGCAAGAACTGTGGGATTTAGGTCAAGGAAGAGACCAGTTTCCAAATGAAATGGAAACGCCTAGTATGAGCCAGTCATGGTGTCAGACTGATTCTGGAAACCTGAGGGCATTGAGGAAATTGACCATTTGGAAATATTGTAAGAGGAACCCTTGACCCAACATTGAGTTTCAATTCTATCACAGATGGCAACTCTGACTCTGAACTTAGATTCGTCCACAGAGAACATTGAAACACTTCTCTGCCTGCTATTGAGCAGCTTTACAGGAACTTTCCATTAATTACCAAAAATTACCATTAATTACCAGAGTGGCTAGTAAAGACTTGCAATGGGGATTAAATTTG